TCAAATCGCGACGGATATCTCGTAATTAGTTCCAAATCACTGAGCCAAGTTCCGTCCAAAACTTCAAATAGACCTGAACGATGACAGACATAACACAGCAATTCGCTAATAATCAACTAATTAAGTCGACCAACAGATACACGAAAACAAATTCATGACACATCCCTTCACCCAAACTGAGATATGCCCCTCGGCATTGCACGTTCACAAATCAAAGATACCGTCAGCCACTCATCGTCATACGGGTTAAATACAATACTAATAATAAAAGGTATAAATCAAAAAGAGTAAAACACATTAATTAAGTACAATGATTATAAAGTCTAAATACAATGGTTATAAAGTCACAAATATCAACGGTTATGAATAAAAAAAAACAAGGGAAAGGCTACCAATCGACTCGCTTTTCTCAAACAGTTCGCTAAGATAACCCTTCGCTGCACTGTCTCCCGTTACTAAGGTTACAAACTCTATATCAAAAGGTCAAAAAAAACAAAAACTAAGGCGTGGCGGTGTAACCAAGCGATCAGCCAATCGCTGCAGTCGACAGCATGATCACGTGATTACCAGGGATGCGTCTCTCGGTTAAAGCATTGCAAAGCGGTAACTAATAAACAATGAATAAAAAGCTATTAATCAAACTCCTGTCATATAGGCTTATGAACTTCAACTGAACTCACAAGTCGTTAATCTAAACAAAAGTCATACCGCGTGGAAACAGAATGCAAAGACAAATGTCGCTTTCATAACACATTACTCCTCTGGCAATTAAAGACGGGAAAGGCAAAACGATAGAAACTACTGAGTTACATATAAACCTGTCAATCATGAACAAAAGCTTGCGTTATCAAACAATACATATATAAGCGCACCAAACTCCCATCTCAAAAAGACATTAAAAACGTTACAAAGGCGCTCTCAACTCAAAAAAGCGTCAGAAGTATTCCGGAAACAACACATAAACAAAAACAACTCTTAAAACGTCGATATCTCTGTACATCGACAAATCTCAAAACTCTTAAAAACTCATTGGGGCATTACTTTCCCCATCATAATCCGTACTCATAAACTCATTAAAACTCCATCAAACTTCACAAAACTCCAAAACACTGTGTTGCAAATACTCGTCCACTGAAGCGCGCTTAAATCGTTGTAAAGGACCTCGCACGTCACTAAATATCATTTCAAAACAAAGATCTGGGCGCTTGCATACATACAATTCAACATCACAAAAAAACGGTAAAAAAAAACGATAGGAAAAGCAAACAATACATTACATTACTGAGCAATAGGGTTAGGATTCTGGAAAAGAGTTCAACGTCCTTGAGTTACACAGTGTCAGTTACAGTGTCCAGCGAGCGGTTCTCTAAGCAATACACAGATAGCTAAAGTCAAAGTCTATAAGCGTCTTCTCTTGTCATCGCGTTAGCCGGGTCGTTCTTTCATCTTCTTGTCTTTAATGTCGCTCAATTCTTAATTATACAGTCCTATCCGGTACTCATCCTTCATAAGGGGTTCAGAGGTCTTCATCTCTTCAGCGTCGTTCATCGGTGCCATACTGTTAACGGTGTTAGTCGTCAAGCGCGGTTTCGTCTCTGCCATCGAGCCAGTTAGTTCGGTTCACAAGAAAGACACATCTTCGCCATTTCACTTCTCTTCACAGGATGTCAATGTGTGTTGAACACCTGCCCGGGTTCATCCAAAACGTATCAGGGGGAAATCTTCTCTCTCTCGGGTTCTCCACCCTTGCCAGGAGGGAATCTCGTCTCGTCTCTATATCGTCCCCTTGAGGTACGGGATCGGGAAAGTC